GTTGTGGTGTTCAGACGAACTTCATCAACGTTACTCTACATCGTCTCAGAGTCGGCAAAAATTTCAAAAGGTAAACGTCCATATCCTAACTATAGATTCCGCTGCGTTAGGATTTATTTCGATAAGTTCAATACTGTGCATGTTGTTTAACGTTCCTAACAGAACCCAACACCCGCCACGCTGTTGCACTGCTCCGTGCCGCGACCCTCACACCCGTCACGCCCGCGCTACTCCATCGTGCCGCGGAAATGCCCAGCACCTCGCCGCGACAGTCCGTTTCTATATATACTTGTGTGCGGATTTGACGAGATAATTCCCCCTCTTGGGCGAGAAACCTAGCTTCCATCGCCACTCAATTCTTTTTCATTTTTCTCTCCAAAAACTCCATTTTTTCACCTTGATTTCTCGATTGCTTTTGGACTAAGCTTATAATTCAAATTCAAATTCAATTTCCCTATTAATCGTAAGTCTTTCTTTTCATTTAATTGATGAAAATAATTGCTTGGATTGAGATGTTTAATCGTATTGAATTTGATTTCAATAGATAAATCCGATTGCTAGGGATAGGGGATGATTATTCTTGTTTGATTCGTAATGGTTGGGCTTTAATTTGTTCGTTCTTGTGCGAGTTGTTTTAAGTAGGAATTGGTGAATTCTTGCTTGATAGTTTGATATAATCGAAGGGTGACACTCCGATCTTGCAATTGGAAATAATTGAATATTGATTTGTCGAGTAAGGGTTTTGTTGATTCTAAATGATTAGTTGATTAAATCCCGTCTAGTCTTATTAGCGACTCTTAGAACCGAAGGGAGGAGTTGTAGAGCTAGGCTCGCACGAGATAGACGATTCCGTAATTGAACAGTCTATAGGTTTCAGATTAAAGTACAAGCTTGTCGATGTCCCTTCCCTTGTTACAAAAAGTAATTGGGATTGGATAATTGGCCGGTGTTGTATGCTCGGACTTGCTCGTCCAGGCTGTCAATGCGATTTCATAACTAATTAGTATGTTCAAAGAATCAAAAGAAGTTCTGTTTCGTAGGGCCGACCAGAGGAATTAGGCAAAGGATGCACCCACCTAGTATAGAACGTGTTCAATTCCTTTTTACGAAGAGTTATTGGGAGCAAACCGCTAGATGTTTAAGCGAGAGCGTCAATCTGGAATCGAACGATTAATTGCTCGGTTTTGCGAATAGAACCCGAAATAATTATCCTTGTCTCCCTAGCTTCTCCATCATTACAATCTTATTTTAGGTTGATTTACATTTTTGCATTATTCTATAGGTCTTAGTTGATAAAACCAATCCATCTTGATTAGTGTGTTTAGGTTTTATTTTGCTTTTGTGTGCTATCAACATCGAATCTAAATTCCAAACCGCCTTCCTCGAGAGATCGACCCGAGGTCGGGAGTCATCACGTAGTTGGTAAAAAAAATAATTTGCTACAACAACTGGGTCTCTTATTTGGCTCACACATCAGCAGGACCCAACCTACTTCTATTTGCGTTGGAGAGTATATTTTTTTTTAAATTGAGTATATTTTTTTAGGTGCCTTATAATTTATTTTTTGATTGAACCAAAAACATTGTGCATGCCCTCAAATGAAAAATAGACATATGTTAATATATAAAATGTTCTTATAGAAAGAGCCAATCTATGTTTAATTACTACGACTGCAACTAATAAAACTTTATACATTTAAAATATTATACATATATTTATCTTTTTTTTTCTCCCAAAATGATAGATAATATTATAAATCAAAATGCACAAATGTGCGAATACACAGCAGCCAACGACTGAATACACAACAACCAACAGCTGAAAGAGTGGGAGGACATGTCAGAAGACCGCCTAAAATCCCGGCTAGCAACGCTAGAATAAAAACACTCGCAACTAAACGAACCAACTACACAACTACCAAACACAAACTAAAAGTGAAACAACTAAAAAGACCCCAATAGGGTAATACCGGAGTATCGGATCCCAACATGATAATAAATGTGACACCCGGGCGCACAGAGGCCAAACAACCCAAACTAAAAACACGAACCTAGACACAAAACACGAGCATAAAAACAAGAAACAACCTAAAGAAACAAAAACAACGGAGCCCTCCCCCGGCGAACAAACAAATCCCCACCAGCAGTGGACGATCGACACAAGAAAGATCCCAGCCCCAGAATCCGCTACCGAAACTGCATATTGCCTATACAGTAGGAGAAATCGAGCCCTGAACAGAATTTACCCATCGTCAACCGAGACCGACCCTCACCCAGCCCCACCCGAACTCAACGAGCCTGAAAGAATCTGGTCTCCCACCGCCTAACACCACTAGGAAGACGAGCTCGCGCAAAGGTTAATCGCACACTCAACCCCAGTCACCGCGACAACCAAGCTGCAGCAACTGGAGCCCCGGCCCCCCTTCAGTACGAGCACCTCTCCAAACAAACTCAAAGCTCCGACGAGCAGAATCACAGCCCCACCGGCGCAGGCAAGCTCGCCGGAGAAGCACCGCCCAATCGACAAAAGAAATAGCGAAATTGAAATGGACAAACCTC